AAAAAAGACAGCAGTATTTTAAACAACTTTCTAGTTGAAAGACCAGTTTCAGTTCTATTATTTTGGTGCGTCTATTTGACTTGCAGGTGAAGAAAGACTAAGAGCTGATTTATATAACCCTTGGGATGCATGTATAAAGAAAATGTAGTCTGTACCACACCATATTTGTCCAAGAGCAAAAATGAAATGTAAAATATAAATTACCAACCATTCCTACCGCATCCTGATCAAAAGGATTCCATTCAACATTTTCTGGATAACGAGCCAGAACTTTGGACTTGAATGTGCGTCTTAATGGAGTTTGCTCAAAATTTTCACCTGAAAAATTGAAAAAGAAGTGATAAATAACAGTATTTTCACTCAAGCTTTATTATGTAGATGCTAGAAAGAACATAATTAGGAAGTAAAGAAATATTTGAATTTAGTCCTTTTAATAGAAACAGGAAATGCAAAGTAGCGATTAGCAAGAAAGAGGAAGCAGAATGAAATTATAGTACTGATAGTGCCTTGCATATAATTATCTAGTTGTGCTTTTCCTTATATAAGTGCAACACAAGCTATTTCATTTATTTCAAATATTTATGTGCACTTTTAAACCAAGTACCACTTTAAAAGTAGTTAGGAAATGCACACATAGGTAAAAGATGCAAAACTTAAATAAAAGTTTAAATACATATAACACCAATTTTAATTTTATTTGGTATTTAAGCCTGGAATCCATCATCTGTTATAAAACAATTCTGTGAAGGGAAATCTAGAAGGCACAGATGGTCAAGGGACAGAAATACTAGAAAAGAAATATGAACCAGAGTTTTGATTATTTTTCCTCCTGTTTTTTACCTTCTGCTGAACTTGAAATGAAACGGCCACCACCATCTTGGGCTTTAGAGGCCTGTATATACTGGCATAATGCTATATAACAAATAAAAAGAACACTGTGTTATAATTTAATAGTGTCAATACTTAATATATCTACAAATCTATTTCTAAAAAAATTCTTCACAAATAATGAAACCCACTAAGTCTAATTCTACTGTATTTTCCCTATGTACGCTGAATATGTTTAGATAAAATAATGTCTAAAAGAAACGATTAATGGAATTCACAGAATGCTGTGAACCACTGGCAATTTCTGCATATTCTGCAAAAGAATTAGCTGCCTTCTTAATGCCAAGCTACGTAACAGCAATACTCACTTAGATCATCAATCGCAAAATACATTCTAGGTCAGGGGTGGGCAACCTGTTGCTCTTTTGCTGAGTTTCATCTCCCTGCAGTCATGGCCAGCATGTGGTGTTGGGAGCTGTAGCTCATTGACATTTAAAGGCCACAAGGAGACCACCCTTGATCTAGGAAAATAAAAACTCATATTCACTCCCCGAGCTATAATTAATTTGTTACTAAATAGGAATGTACTCTTTCAGAATTTATGGTTTTGTGCATTCAGTTTAATTTCATATATAACAGGGAAAGGAAAGCTTTGTATGTGTGTGCCTTTGAGTCAGTACTGACTCCTGGCAACTGGCTGGACAAACCCCTGCAGTTTTCCTAGAGAGGCAGTTTGGTGTAGTGGTTAAGGCACCAGGCTAGAAGCTGGGAGACTTGAGTTCTAGTTTCACCTTAGGCACAAAGCCAGCTGGGTGACCTTGGGCCAGTCACTCTCTCTCAGCCCTAGAAAGAAAGCAAAGGCAAACCACTTCTGAAAAACCTTGCCAAGAAGCTCATTGATCTTTAAAGGCTGTAAGCAGACCACCCTTGATCTAGGTTTAACTCCTCAAACAAAAACTCATACAGGTATAATTAATATGTTATTAAATAGGAATGTATTCTTTCAGAATTTACAGCTTTGTGTATTCAGTGTAATTTCTTATATAATAGGGAAAGGAAAGCTGTAACAACTACCTAATAGAGAGGAATGAAAAATGGAACCTAAAAGAGAAGCAAAGTCAATAGGGTTTGGACATACAGTCCTCTTGTAGGGGGACAAAAAACAGAGCATCAAAAACTGGGGCTATGAACACTTACTGTAGGTAGCATATTTTAAAACCTTATAAAAACAAAGCAACAGGAATAATGATAATATTCAGAATTCTTTGAGGAGTGGCTAATGACTCTACAAGTTTAAGAATGTAAAATGATTCACAAATCTCAGTAGGCTTTAACCTCAAATCAGTGTCTGTAGCAGCTGTCCCGTTTGATGCCCCTGCATCTTGAAGAGATATGTGAAGAATTCCCAGAACTTCCAGCCAATGAAGCCTATGCTGGCTGTGAATCCTGGGAATTTCAGTGTGGAGGGTACTAGACTGCGGAAAGATTTATTGAATTTCTATCTCAGACATCATGCAGGTAAAACAATAAACCAAACCAAACAAACTCTTTACATTTAATGTTTACAAATACTTCACAGAAGATTAATGTTCCACCTGCTATATAATTTAGGTAGCTGTATGTTGAACTGAAATTTAAATCTATTAATGTTCCAGAGAAGAATTCAAAATTGGCCTTTTAATCATTCTATGTAAAATAAATAAATCATAAATATTTAAACATATTAATAATGTTATTGAAAGCAGTTTCAGAAAGCCTATGGGGAAAATGTTTCTCTAGAGTTCCATCTCAGAAGGCACCCATCTCTTTTTTTCAACACTCTTGCAACTGCTCACTTTTTGTACCTTCTTCCGGATTAACCTGAGCCAAAGCATGCTTTCTTTCTTTCTTTCTTTATTATTTACTTACTTATTTATTTATTTATTTATTATTAAAC